GTTCTTCCTGGTCTCTTCTTATCCCTGCTAGATACTGTGGGGGACCGGAGGAGGGAGTGGGATGGGTGAATAAGGGCCACTGGAGGTACATGTCCTAATCCCTAGTACCTGTAAATGCTGTTTTGTAGAGCAAGAGGCACTTGACAGAGCAGATGAAGTTAACGACCTTGAGATGGGGAGATCCAGGATTATCTGGGTAAGCCCTGTGTCATCACAAGGGTCTTCTAAGAGGAAAACAGGAGGAGACAGAAAGAAAAAAGGCAATGTGACCATAGAAGTAGGGATCAGAGTGATATGGCTATAAGCAGAGGAATGCCAGCCCATCCACTTCCAGACGCTGGAAGACACAAGGAACGGATTCTCCCCTGGAGCTCCAGAAGGAATCAGCCGTATTGACACATTAACTTTAGCACAGACTCCTTTTAGACTTTGACTTCCAGAAATGGAAGAGAATGAATTTCTTTTGTTTTAAGTCACCGCGTTTATAGACATGTGTTATGTAGTGATAGGAATCTAAGACAGAGGTTTAAGGAAGCGACAAAACACCCGTATCCAATCACCCCGCAGACCAAACGCACAGGTAACTCTGTTTACAGCTCTGCAGCACTTGCTAGGTATTTCTCATGTCTTACCCCTCTCACTAGCCTGGATTACTGACAAGTTTTGGGGGTAACTAGATCTTCAGCTCCATTACTTATTTTCAGAAATACCAGGCTCAAAACTGTCCAGAGTAGTCATGTTGTGTTGGGCCCAGCCCAGCCTAAACAGATGCATCTGGACCCGTCTCATGAATTCAGAGGGGAGCCTATGGCCAGCAGTTATTTGCATGTGTGAAACTGTCAAGGAAGAAAGAAGGAAACGTGAAGATGATGTGTGAAGGCCTAGGGCAGGGATGAGTGGAAGGACAGGATGGCACCTGTTTCTTCTCAGCCCAGACTAATTAATGCCTTGGGCTGAGTCCAGTGGAGCTGCAGGCAGAGGCTGCCTGGACTTCTCTCAAGAACTCTGAGAGGTGGGGCACAATGGTCCCTTTCTGGGTGACAATGTGTGACAGTGAACTGGGGACAGAGCCATTCTCCCCACTTCTGCACTGAGTGCAGGACAGCTCCAGCACAATGAGGAAGGAGGAGCAGGCAGCTCCATTTGGCCCTTCCAGGAGGACAGACTGGGGATGCCCCTGGTGACTGCTCTCCTATGCCTATGTGTCCCCCGGAAGCCATTGAGTGACATCTGCAAAAATCCCAAAGCCAACCTCTTTGGCTTTGCCATTGACGACCATTTAGATTTGCAGTTGCCTTGGAACTTTCCTGTAACTGTTGGGGACACAAAGCAAAACACGCTCACTTGGAATGGGGACCAGGAGCCCCAAGTCAGAGCCCCAGAGCCCTGTCCTTCCACCTCCCTACACACATCCACCCAGACCTTCCAGGAAGAGTGAGCAGAGTTAGGAAATGTTGATCTCATAGATATTTGTGAGCATTAGAAGCCATCGCCCTAATTGCTCTCAGTTGAGGGACTATAATAGCCCACCTCGCAGACTTCCCCACAACTGAACACTGAAGCATCTAGTTTTGTAAAACTAGCCTGGAACAGCTTTACTCCAATTACTGGGCCTGTATTACATGAGTGTGAGGTTGCCAAGGAAAATGAGTCAGAGTAATCCCTTTGCTAAGAGATGAGAGGAAAAAAAAAGAAAAAAGTCTTGTAAACCTTTACTATTTTAATTACCTGCTTCCAGAACAATAAAAAGGGAGTAAGATCTTCCGCCTAGTGTTGTACATTATTACAGTTCCATAAAGTACGTTGAACTATATCCCCACGATGTAAGACTTAAGCTGTTTCCTTTCATTTGTATTCAACTATTCCAACGATTCGATTTTAGAAGAGTAAGAATTAAATTTTCCTTTAGTGGTTTTAGTTACAAATATTGGGACCAAAAGCAATTTAAACCTTGCTGCTTTCTTTAAAAAAAAAAAAAAAAGATTTATTTATTTTAGGAGAGAGAGAGAGAATCCTAAGCTGACTGTGCTGAGTGTGGAGCCAGACTCAGGACTTGATCCCATGACCCTGAGATCATGACCGGAGCAGAAAACTAGAGTCAGCCACTCAACTGACTGAGCCACCCAGGCACCCCAAACCTTGCTGCTTTCTTGAAAGGCTTGTGTCTTTAAATGCCTCCTGGGAATGATGACTAAAGGTAATGTGGGATTCTGAAACAGAAATAGGATATTCTAAGGAAATCTGAATAAAATGTGGACATTAATAATAATAATGTACTGATATCTGTTCATTAATGGTGACAAGTGTATGTAGCATACATATGTGAGACGTAACAATAGGGGAGACGGAGTGTGGGTCCAGTGGGAGTCTCTGTGCCATCTTCACAATTTTTCTAACACTAAAATGACCCTAAAATAAGTGGGGTTTTTTGTTTTTGTACATCCATTCTTTTGTTGACTGCATGTTAACGTGTGGACTTCAATATTGTCTGTCTGCTGATGATGAACCTGCTCCAACACTCTTCCCTGAGCTTCATGCTCATGTATCCCGCATCTTACTTTATAGCTGAACTTGACAGAATATCCAAGGCACCTCAAACCTAACTTGCCATATACACAACTCTTGATTCCCAGGAGAGTTCAGGCTGCTGGGTAAAGAAGACATGTTATTGTATCAACATTGTACTGCATCAACACTTACAGCTCCTCAGCCTTGTGTTCCCAGGACTAAACCAGCTAAATATAGAAACACCGATAACAGACAATGTACTTCCAAATAAGAGGTGTGGGAGATATGTGGTGTTGAAAGTTGACTGAAATTAGGAACTATGCATATGCTTTATTGATTAATAACAGTTAATAAGTGCTTCTTTGTACCAGGTACTCTTCAAAATACTTTTACATGTTTTATATCATTTAATCCTTGCAGTCAAAGTAAAGGTAGATATATTGAGCCCATTTTTAATATCAGAAGATGGAGAAACACAGAGGTTAAATAGCTTTCCCAAGGTCACAGAGCCTGAAAGACAGGGCTAAGATTTAAACTCAGGCAGCCAAGTATGTTCTAGGGAGTCGTGGTGGAAATTACAGTGTTATTTTCCAGTCCAGACTCATGTTCCTACTCTAATACCTCACATTTTATCACTAGATTCTGTGCCCTTTAACATAAAGGGTGTATAGCAACCTCATGTTAGAGGAATAGGAAACAAAATGAATGAAATGAGTTCCAATAGACATAAACATTTCAGAAACATTTTTAAAAATGAACATTTAGGGGCGCCTGAGTGTCTCAGTCGGTTAAGGGTCTGCCTTTGACTCAGGTCATGATCCTAAGACCATGGGATCAGCCCCGCGCAGGGCTTCCTTCTGCGGGGAATCTGCTTCTGTCTGTCCCACTGCTGCTCCCCCTGCTTGTGCGCTCACGTGCTTTCTCTCTGTCAGATAAATAAGTAAAATCTTAATAAAAAAAGAATATTTAGAAATTAGATTTGAAAATAAGGACATCAGTTGAATGCTGCTTCTGCATGTAGGACACAGATTAATTTGGGGAGTGAGCCAATGGGAAGGCTTAACTAAAATATGTAGCTACTGCCTTCTCTCTTTGACACACGGCGTTGTGAGAATTTGTTCCCCAATGACTGCAAACTCCTCAAGACTTTCCCTTGAATGACTTGGTCTATGTTCAGCTGATCAGAACACTGGGGTTCAAACCCTCCAGCCTGGCACATACACGCATGTCTGTGCTCTTGATCATACACCCATGATCCATGTGGCTTATCTGTTCTCCCCACTAACACAGAGACGTGATCTACTGGACACTGAATTTAAAAAGTTGATTGTGTACTAGCTTTAAGCAATACAAATGCTAGTATGGAAGAGAAAATTGGGAAATCCATCAGCTGTGAAAAAGCACTCTTTTCCATAAATACTTTATTGAACCTATTATTTTCAGAAAATACCCAGTTTCTGTAAAAATTTTTTTAATGAAAATATCTTTTCTTTCAAACATATGGCATTATTTGGTCCAAAGATAAAAGTTAAAAACTTCCCAAAGATCCCTGTTTTCATTAAAAAATTTTTCAAACACATGAGGCTGGATATTTTTGGTAGTTTTTTAAAAACAGGTTTTTACAGAGTATTATGTACAACTCTTCTGAAACATTTCCTCTACTCAGTTCATGCCAACACACTTACTGCTAAAAAAAAAAAAAAAAAACTGTCCTAAAACATGCTTATTAAACGTTAACATTTATGCAGAACTGTGTAAGGACGCCTAGTTTTGACTAAAAAATCCCCATCCTCTTGCCTTTGACTATAGTACTTATCGTATTTTTTCACTTTTAAATAAAGGGACATATTTTTTACCAAGTTAACCAATCCATGAGTAAAGCTCATCTAAACATTCTTCTTATCTTTCCATGTTTTCCATTGAGCAGTGTGTAAAAAAGCAATAAATGTAATGCTGTTAGATAAAAACAGAGCAAAGGAACAATATCAGCTGATGTTTTGAAAGTTCCCAGTTTTCTGTGGGATCACGATAAGGCAAAGAGGTCATTTCTTGTGTGTAATTATGACTTTGCATTGAAGATGGACTGGGAAATAGAGCCAAATATTTTAAATAGAAACAAGCCCAGGTTCCACGGAGATATCTGTTGTATAATATTAGCCTACGTGAGTTTATCTGCTTAGAGACTAAATGAGAAGACCATTTCACTCTTTGCTGAAGACACTGAAAACATTTCCTTTTAAAGGCAGAATCTCAGTAAAGAACAATTCATGTGCCTAGAAGCCTAAACAAAATCGTTTCATGGCGAAAGTCACCCATTAAGTGTACATTTTGTTCAGGAAATGTAATTTCTGTGAGAAGAAGGGGCGCCCACCGTGGCTGTTCACGTGGTCACAGAACTTGCCTGCCAGCCAGCCAGCAGAAATTCTGAAGCTACGAAAAACTGTCTGCCCGGCTAGGCATGCTTTTCAAAAAAGAACAGACAAAGTACTTACATCTCAGAGTTCTACCGTGAGGCTCACTTTTCCACTCTGCAGACCTCTGCCTGATTCTTCACTCCGGCTTGACAGCTGTTTTAATCTGCAAGGCAGGATGGAATGTGTGGTCTTGCACTTGCTGTTCTTTTCCGTTTTCAGAGGGCCAGTGGCCCTGGTCGTTCTCATGGCAACTAGGAGGAAGCTGCCAGCCCACCAGCTTCATTAACCACACAGCAGGACAGAACCTGCCTTGATGAGTCCTGGCCACTCTGGGGGTTGGACAATGGAAAGTTTCCAGAAGAAACTAGGCAGGGTGCTGCTGTATGCTGACCCTGAAGGGCTGACAGTAGTAGGAGAAGTTCTACTTTAGCAGGAAATGGAATGGGCTAAGTTTAGAGCATAGATTCCTAGATGTTTTGTTTTCATGGTTTGTTCCATTTTTTGGGGCTTGAGGGATTGTTATGTATGTAGATGCTTGAACTAGGGGAAAAACCTTCTTGTGGTTGTTTCAAAGAGCAGATGAACACATTTCAACTCCAAAGATGTTGTCCTGTTCTCTCTCTCTTTTTCCAAGCACTTTTTAAAATGTTTAGAGCCACAAAGCAAATAAACATGTAAGAAATATTCTGTGTACCTTAACTGATGAAGGGTCAGTAAATACTGGAGAAATCAGGTGGTGGTGATAGAGGAGGTTCTCACTAATTAAAAACACTAGGGAAAATCAGTTGATTTGTGTTACCCCGATATAGATTATCCACTATTTTAACAAAGAGAGTCCCTCTTGAATGAATTAGGGAAATTCATTCTGTTTATTATTCACCTAGGGAACCCTTACCACATGCATGTGCTGTGCCAAGAGCTATAAGGGACAAAAGGAATTAATGTCATAGTTCTTATCTTCAAGCTATAATATGGAAGGGGTATTTATCTCAGTTGATGGTGAGAAATGTTTGAAGGGAAGTACGAAGAAATCACACAGGAGTTGCAGGAAGGGTAGAGCTACATGTTGGCGGGAAGATTGGACACATCTTTGTAGAGGGGTAGCATCTGATCTGGAGTGGTGAGATGGAAGGGAAAAGGGCAATAATGTCTCATGGAATGAGTCTTTGGCCAATAGAGAATGTGAGCTGATGGATGAAGCCTTCCTCCTTTCTCACCCCATTCAGTCCTGACACCCAGGTCATCTGAGGTCTTAGATGGTCCACAGGACAAAGCAACTCAAGCAATTAAGAATGTTGTTAAAGCAAAGGCTTGGAGATGGCAGAGTACTAAGCCTATTCAGCTCTTTGAAAGCCAGTGAACCACAGTCAGGAGCAAGGGAATTGAGAATAGAGAGAATCCACTATTCCCAGTGGTTAGTTTTGGCAAAGCAAACATAAATGCTACCATATGAGAATAGCGGAACATGGACTTTGGCTCAAATCTTGATTCTACTACCTTTTTGAACATTATTATTCAAAATTCATGAGCCTTGATTTCCTAATCTATAAGCAGGATAGCAATACTTCACTGAAAGGTTGAGGTAGGGATTCAATGAGATGACCTGTGTGGGCAGACCCCCTGAGAATGGAAGAAGGGAAAGCTGACCAAGCATTTGCCAGCCGTCCCAAATTTCCAGAGCGACAGTGGCTAGTACAGGAGTTTGACACACTGAACTTCTATTCCAGGGCCTGCTTCCACTAAAATACCCAACTTACAGAGTCTACAACTACCATTGCAGCTACGGCTCCAGACAGGATTTAAGTTTGACTGATCACGTCTCCTTGATCTGGAACTAAGTCACATGGAGAGAGGACCACGGTGTTTTGTTTAGGAATTGAGTTTGGTGGGGAGTGAGAAGAAAGTTCTGGACATCTCTTTTGTGGGCACGGGCCTCGGCAGAACTGGCCTCATCTGGGAGCAAGCACTGTGGGGGCACAGCTTTCTGGTTGACTTGCTTCCTGGTCATAGCAGATGTGTCATGGCTTGGATCTGAGGTCTGTGGTCCTGGCTTCCGGCTGGAGAAGGTGGCCTCTTACTTCAGCAACTTCCTGACTGTGGAAGAGGCAGCAGCTCCTTCCATAGCTCAATCCGCCAGGGACTTTCTGAGCTCAGCCTACAGTCTGTTCAGCCCTCTCCATGATTCAAGAACTCTCTGTATGTCTTCAGAAACTCCTTTCTATTTAGATCAGTTAGAGTGGACTCCATCCTCTGCAACCAGCCTGAACCCTGAATGACATGCCAGGGACAAGTTCTGGCCAATACCAGCTGAGTGGCGGTTTGCTAGCACTGCCTCCTCTGCTGCTTCTTCCTGTGTGCACACAGAGATTGCAGGAATGTGGAGCAGCCCAGTATCTTGAGGACATTGCTACATCCCCACAGCAGCTCTGTACTGCCCTGTCTGCTGGAGAAAGAGACAGACATTTTATGTCTGCTCGCAGACATTTTATGGCCAAGAGAAACTACCTGAAGCTTTTTCTTTTCTTTTCTTTTTTCTTCTCTTCTCTTCTCTTTCCTTTCCTTCCCCCCTTCCCTCCCCTCCTCTTCTCTTCTCTCCTCTCCTCTCCTTTCTTCTCTTCTTTTTTCTTTTCCACAAGAACAATGCAGACTCCTGAGAGCACATGCAGATAATACTCAGTGCATACTGATACACACCTCTCCAACTTATCCTGCAGAAATAAAGCCAATTATAATTCTGCATGGAGGCAAATTGTGCTTTGTCTTCAAACTTTAGCAACTGCTTTGATTGTTAATTAACATGTTGGTTACCCAAACTCTTTTAAAGCAAAGCCTCAAACACCACTCTTTCCAATAGCCTTTCTCCAGGTATTATCATCCAAAGTCTCTATTACCACTTGCTAACAGAAGGAGCTGGGATGGAAAGGGAGGACCTGAGATGAATCCTGAAGTTGCCCAGGATGATGTAAACGCTAACAGAAGATACTGGTGTCTTCTGTTTGGAGGTGTAACCACCTCCAAATCAACACCAGTATCTTCTATTAGCGTTTACATCATCCTGGGCAACTTCAGGATTCATCTCAGGTCCTCCCTTTCCATCCCAGCTCCTTCTGTGCCAACCTGAATATTCCTCAGTTCACTGCAGGATACTTAGGCTCCTGTCCTCACCTGGGAGCTCTGATTGTGCTCTAGACCTTGTCATTGGCATGTGACCCTGTTCCACGTTCAAGCTGCCACTGTTGCCTTTGTGTTCTTTCTTTCCCTCACTCCTGCTCTGCTTTACCCTCATGGAAACATCTCCACCCACTCTTGACTTTGATCAGTGTTTCCATGCTGCCTTCCCCACCATGCTGATGACACCCCACCCAGGAGGATGCACACGCCATACCATCCGGCCCAGGATTGCCGCCTCCCTGCCACCCCCATCCTGCCTTCTCAGCTCCTGCTGGAGGGTGCAGGTACTCACGGAGAAAATGTGAAGAGCCAGAAGTTCATAATGCTCACTTCAAATGGACCCCTGCCACCAACTGGTCATCCTTCCTGTCTGCTCTTGCCCAATGGCTTTCTTTGATGACCCTCCTCTACTGGGACTGAACGCTCATTTCAACCACAGCACCCTTGTTCTTGTAAGGGGTGCTTGCATCTTATTTTCCTGAGAGGAACCAGTCAGCTGGTCTGGGTTTTCTCATCACCCTGCTCACAAAAACACACGTCTTTAAGAATTTTTTTTAAAGGTTTTATTTATTCATTTAACAGAGAAGGAGAGTAGAAGTAGGGAGAGCAGCAGGCAGAGTGGGAGGGAGAAGCAAGCTCTCTGCTGAGCCAGGAGCTAGATGTGGGACTCGATCCCAGGACCCTGGGATCACAACCCGGGCAGAAGGCAGCTGCTTAACAAACTGAGCCACCCAGGCTTCCCAAAAAACACATATCTTAAACTACAAATGTTTTGGAGCACCTGTTACACACCACTTTGGATTCTTTCAGCCATACTTGTTTTCTGCTCCAGTAACCAAGATGGTAAGCGGTGCGGCCATGGGTCCAACCAGTTGCACATGAAGGCGACCTGCAAGCACCTCTTGCCTTCTATAAGGCTTCTCTGTTTGCACTATGGCTCAGGACTGGGTGGACGACCCCTGGCATCCTCATAAACACAACCTGGAAGTGCTGGGGAGTGAATGCCTCATGGAGTATTCTCTGACCAAGGGAGGATGCAAGCTGATAGACATACCCTGCCTGCTTTCTCACAGTGTGGTGTGAGACGCGTGTCCCATGGCCTCTTAGGTAGCTTGTGTGGGCAAACAATGCAAGAGAACTTCCCAGTGCTTTACTCTTCTTCACTGCTGTTTCTTGGGATCACCATCTCTGGCAAAACATTTGCAGATGTATATTTTTCTCATGTTCATCTCTCTGGGGAAATCAGACTAAGACACATCCTTTGTTCTTCTTTCCAGATTCTAAAATACTCTTCCTCCTTTGAACTAAAGACTAGCCCTTCTTCTTTCCTGAGAGGGTTTTCTTCTATATCAATATCTTCACCTCCTCCAGTAAGTAAAAGCTTGATAGCTTTAAGGGAGGTATCCTGAGAGTTAAAAAAAAAAAAACCCACCTTTTTGAGGACCTCTCTTGTATATAATTGTCTCCATAAAATTAGAATATCTGAAACACCAAAGTGATGTTTTGAGACCCTTAAATGGTTTTATAAAGTACTCTTTCCAGGCCTTAATCTACTTATGCTCTGTGTGGTTCTTGACTATAGGCCAACCCTTCCTTAGTTCTCTGTTGTCATCCATGATTCTGTGATTTTTTTCCTTTGGTGTTTACTTATTAATTACATCATTTCTTTCTCTCCCTATGGCTCTTTTTTCTTTTTCCTCTCAGCACTAAAGCTCATTGCTTGTTTCTGATCTTCTTTTACATTTCTTCTTTATGAATTCCAATCCTCTGTTTCAATTATCCTTAGTTTACCCCCACATGGGGAACAAACTCAACACAGCGTAATTCAACTCAACACAGGAGGGCCATCTTCTTAATACTGGGTAATCTGCCCTCAGCCAGAATGCCTCCAGAAATGAAGGTCTTAACCTCTTTACATGGCAGCTTTTTTCATTTCTGGAGAGCTCTTTTGTGTAAAGTGGTTTGTTATATATGGTTGAATCTGTCTCTTGGTAATTTGGGGACATTGACTGTTTTTTTTGTCCTCCAAAGAAGCATTGAAAAAAAAATCTTCCCTCTTCTTTTTTATAGTCCTTAGCAATACTCTGTTGTCTCATACTTATCTCCTGTTAGTCCCTCAGACCCAAACCACAGAAGCATTTTTGATTCTTCCTTCTCCTTTGGTCCATACAGCAAATGGGTCACCAAATACTGCAAGCCTTGTTTTGAAATTCCTTCTCCAGAAGGAGCTAGGAGGTTGTGCA